GGCCCCGGCCGCCCTCAAGTTGCTCGGACCCAGTCTGGGGGGAGTTGAAACGGATTTTCACCCCCACTTTCCCTTCAGGAATTCCGTCTCCAGCTGCGAGAAGACATCGGAGTCCGCCTCGCCCTCCTCCCCCCGCTCGCTGCGCGGCAGCCCGGGCCTCCTGGCACCCTCTCTCTCCTCAGAGACTCCACCTCTAGGTGCGGGGGGACCCGGGGCGGACTGGGTCTGTTTTCTCCTCCCTCGTAGCGGTCGTCCCGGAGGCAAAGATTAGCTCCGAGCCAGGGGCATCGCGGGCCGGCCGGGGATCGGCTCATGGTTGACACAAGCCGTGGGGTTTCCACGCTGCGTGTGTCTGGGGAGAAAACCGCGGGCAGAACGGGCACTGCCCCGCCTTCCTATCGCCTCTCTTACAAGCTGTAAACTTCAGCTTTTGTGATCTCAGTCCTTCCTCGTTAGCAAAATCCCGACATACTAGTCCACACAAACTCAGTTCACACTCTACCCTTACATGTGTAGCAATGTGCTAGAAACAAGCAACTTTTTGTAATTTTCGTACCCTTTGAACTGTTTAGGTAGATCAGCAGCCAGACTGTACAGACACTTGTGGGAAGACCTGGGAGTGTTGTTCCTGGCATGCTGTTCCCAGTACAGAAAGGGTATGGGGCAATCAGGGCTGAACATAAACATGGAGAATTTATTTACATTTTAACATGGACAGTAGAGACTTTCTGGGTAGGTGGAAAAAAAAAAGAAAAAGCTACTGTAGAAGGCTACTCAATACCTTTACTCAGTCTGGTATTAGTTTAACCTGGTCATCAATGTCTCTACAAAATAGTAGGTTAGTGTTTTGCCCTTTTCTGCAGTTTTGTAGGTAAGGTCAAATTTGTAACATGAGTGTCCATAGTTATCAAAAGGGACACTTGAGCATAGATGTATGAACCACGGATCAGTCCTGCTCCTTCTGTCAAAGCAGCATTGACTTTGCAGCACCACTCTGGGTAATTATATTTTTCACTGCAATCACTGACTTACAGATGAGATTTATCAGATGTGAGCTAATTTACACAATCCCATTTGAAAGCAGAACTTACCTGTCAGGCAAAGGTTTCAGCATGATTGCAGGAGTTACCAGTTTCATTTTGGCTTGCTGTCAGCCCACACAGAGCTTGGAATGGCCCACAGTAAGTGTATTCTCCTCAGCCATTGCTTTGGGCTGTTGTGTGAACAAGTGCTTGTGTTTTGAAGTGGGAAAAATTAAAAGAAAAATTGTAAAAGATTTGGTGATGTCTTGGAGTTTGGTTACTACACCTGTGCTTTTACCACAAATAGTTAATATGTTCTTACCACATACATTTATAATATCCATTTTTATCCTTTCTTAAATGCTGCATATAGAATTTTTCCATTTAATAAGGATTGCTACCTGAAGACAGCTTGTAATGTAGTTTAACTTCAGAGTTCTTTGAGAGACTATGAGCATTTGTATCCAATAGGATAATTATCTGTAATTAGTTATTTAATATAAAATAAAATATAGATGTTAAGGAACTATCTCTGAAGTAAATGGAGCTGAAATGTTCTTTTCTGTGTGTGTTCACCAGGACTTCCAAAGTAAAGAAAACAGGCTGTTTATTATAACTGTTTGGTGTTTATGGACTTCAAAAAGCATAAACTATGACATGAAATAACTGAAGGGTTTGTCTAGTATTACAACCTTTGTGCCTCAGATTCTCTTTCAATTCTAATCTTTCCAGTTTCAGAAATGACAATGCTATATTTGGGTTAGTTTTAGCTCATCATACTCTGTCTGGTTGTAATGACTTTTGAAGCTGTTGATCAGTCTCAAGCCAATTTGACACTTCATCACTAGAGGTGTCAAAATCAAGTTAGTTCAAGATTTGGTAAAATCAAATGGGTATGTAGGGGAGGGAGAGCAGTGCAAACCAGACTGAACTCAAACACTACCTATTACATTTGGTAGCTACTGGCTGGTAAATCAGAATATAGTCCAAACTAGCCATAGAACATGCTGGGTTTTCCCCCTCTGATACTCACCACCACAGCGGTAAGTGACATAGCAAGTGTGAGGAACTCACCATGAAAGTCAAGGATGTATGCAGACAGGCAATGAAGTCATGTAGAGGACCTGGGACTGTTGTCCCAGAATGGGAGGTGTAGGACCCAAGTTGATAAGAAGCCAGGCCTAATTACTTGCTTAACTATCTTAAATAATTATCTAAGTATGTATAGGTGCTATTAATTTTCCTGGAGTTGGGCACTTGAATACGTTAAAAAGTTTTCTTGTTTAATGTAAGATAATTTTTATAAAGGTTGGGTTTTGTAAACATTTTTTGTGAAAAAAACCCAAACAAACAACCCACAATATAACATTTTAATAGATGCTTCATTTAAAACTGTCACATAGTATTGTGCTGTGTTACTATAGAAGTATTGAAAAATAACTTTCTAAGGGATTCACTGGACTACTGTGTCACATTAATACAATAGAAATGAGTAAAAATGATGGACCAGCCCCTTGTACTTTTTTTCTTTTAAGAAACAGCTGAAACATCCAGACCTTTTCACTTTTAACTACATTTTTACTTCTGAAGACAACTTGTATTTTTCAAATTGTTGTTCAGAGCAGTAAAGCTTCTTTGGGCTTTTGTTTGCATTGGTTTTACAAGACTATATATATGTCCAAAAAAGTGAAGCAAAGTTTATATAAAAATCAGAGGGCAAGACTTTCTAAGATTAGTTAGCATCTAGAATATTCAGAATATTTGACATATTACAATTTTTGCAACAACTGCTCTTTTTTTTTAGTTGGAAAGGCAAAATTATTTAGTATAATTCCTATCTGGATGAATATGTCCCTATCTGGACAGCACTTCAGCTTACACTTTAGTGCTGTTCTTGAAACAAAGCACTAAACCTGAGTTCCTCTTTTAGCTCATTTGTCTGCTTAATTAATGGTTTTTCTGAAAGCTTAAGTCTTCTTTGCTTTCTTCTTTTTCTTGTAACTGAGAAGAAATAGGATTCATGGGAATAAAAACTGATGAAAGCACTAGATGACCTAGTCTGAATTTGTATGTATTACAGGGCTGTCCTAAATCCAGTATGTTTTGTCTGATCTATTAAAAGATGGAAAATTCCTCACTTTTTAGGAGACTGATTCAACAGCTCATTGTCCCACTGTTAAAATTTATCCTGATTCTAAACTTGAATTTGCCTAGCTTCTCTTTGCAGCCATCAGTTTTTCTTTCACCTTTTGCCTTAAACTGTGGTGGTTTAGCATCTGTTACATATTGACTTAAAAAAGCCCTGAATATTTGGTTGTGATAAATTCAATAGTCCCAGCATGATTAAGTCATGCATAGATAGATATTTTGTCTTAAATATTTTTTGTAGCTGTTCTTAATTTTCCCTACTTTTTAATGTGGCAATTAATAAGAGTAATTCATTAACTAATGTGACAATTAATAATACAATATTTCACCATGGGATCTCACTGACACTCCTGGTGTATTGTTTTTGTTTTGACTGTTTAATTCAGCACAGTGAGAAGAATTTTTTCAAATTAGGTTTTCTCTTAGAGCTGTAGTAGACAGATGACTCAAAACAGAGGTATAAATGAAAATTCTGA